TGCTTCCAACAAGGTTTCTCACATACTTATGTCAAAATCATACGCAATCTTTCCAAAGATATAGCAAAGATAACTGTTTGACAACCCTCTGTTTATGAAGGGAGGAATAAAATAGGGATTCATGTGTTTGTCAGAGGTGCTATCCCAGCAAAGAGTCCAAATAGAAAATGAATCTTAAGGGCAACTAGGTGGCATGGTGGATAGAGCACCGGCCCTGAAATCAAGAGGACCTCAGTTCTAATCTAGCCTCAGACCCAACACTTGACACTAGCTGTGTGACCCTGGGCAAGTCACTTAACCCCAATTGCCTAAAAAAAAATCTTAAATAGATGGTATAAGGTTGCCCAGATGATGCCACTGTCTGCAGAAGACATTGTGCTGATAGTGTCCACTACTAAAACACTGGATCTGAAATAGAAACATATTCACTCAAAAGAGTTTATGCAGTTGGTTAGATATCCTATAGAACTGCTCCAAAAGTACACGTATTTATATATGAAGGTATGTATGTGTGTATGTAGAGAGTCATACACTGGACATATGTGTATGTTTGTATATACATATATAGACATTGTATGTATTGTGTGCTGGCTATGTATGCACAAATACATGCATGTATTGTATGCATACACACATGACAAACAAGATATATGTATCTATCGCTTTGCAGACTGGCTATGCCTGGAGGCCAGAATTGAATAGAAAAGTGATCTGAAACAATGGCCCATTTTTTAACAGTATTATTATGGTCATAGGGCAGGTAGGTGGTACAGTGGATAGAGTGTCAGGCCTGGAGTCAGTAAGAGTCATCTTCCTGAGTTTAAATTTGGCCTCAGACACTTAGGGTGTGTGACCCTGGGCAAGTCACTTAACCCTGTTTGCCTCTGTTTCTTCCTCTGTAAAATGAGCTGGAGAAGGAAATGGCAAACCACTCCTATGTCTTTGCCAAGAAAACCACAAATGGGATCACAAAGAGTCAGAAACGACTGAAAATGACTGAACAACAAATTGTGGTTGTGCTGTATTACTTCAAGTCATGGAACACTATAGTGTCTGAAGAATTCAAGTTTTGTCAGCCAATGGGTAATAGACAGGCACATGGAAGCCACTTGTAGCCTACAACATATTATCATCAAAGTATTACCCAAGAGAAGCAGTGTAAAGCACAGCATGTCACCAAAGATCCGTGTGACTGGGAAGGAAGTATTTTCCTTCTAAGAGGATAGAACTCCACTCCACTTAGGCAGGGAAGAACTTATCATTGGCTTCCAAAGTTCCATGGTTCTTCTCTTCTTTCTCTCTATAACATACTATATATGTACATATATAGATGTATATAAAATATCTCTCCAATCTGGATCCTGGATCCTTTTCTTTTTCCTTCCTTTGTTTTTTCTTCCAAGCACATTTTCCATTTTTTCAAGGAACACTTCATTCTCCTTGGTAAGTTAAAGAAAAGTATTCCCCCTGACTTTTCCACCATGTCTATGATATAAACCAAGGTTCACTTTGTGCATAAATACCATCAGAAACACAGATGAAGAACAGTCCTCTGCACATCACTAAAATATTCCCCCAGCACTCCATACTTTCTGAAACAGATATCATCAGTTCTTTGACCCTCTTACTACCTTGTCTCATCACTGCAACAAACTACCTATTTATTTGCCCCACCTGTTTACTGTACAAGGACTTGATGCTCCTGGACAAGTTTTTTATTTGTAATGCATTTTCCCTGTCTTTTCCCTCCGATGCTACTTGCCATGATGTATTTGGTTTCCTACCAATACACACCTTAATGCAATCAATAGCTGCCTTCAGTTGCTGTCTCTGAGATTCTAAGTAAAAAATCATTGTTCACCCACTTTCTCTTCTCTCCTTTTGTTGTTAGTAAGATTTCAGACTTCTTATGTCAACTCATACTTTGCCTCTTAGTTATTTCTCACACCTTTTGAACACTAACGAGCTCACTAGGTGAATACATTCCCAGCCAGAAATAATTTCTCATCTTTGTCTTTTTTCCTATTTACGCTGTCACAGATCTTGAGAATAGAAAGGGACATCAGCAGCCATCTAATCCAACCTATACATGAGATAAATTTCTACAATACCTGACAAGTGGCCTTCCATCCTCTGCTTAAAGATCACCAATAAAAGAGACACCTAACCTCTCAAGACAGCCCCTTATTTCTTTTGGATAGCTCTAATTGTTACAAACTTTTTTCCTGAGATCAATCCTAAATATTCCTTTTTGCAACTTAATAATAATGATAATAATAACAATAATAGCATTTATATAAAATTTTAAGGTTTGCAAAATATTTTACCTACATTATCTCATTTGATCCTCATGACAGCCCTGGGAAGTAGGTAATATTATTGTCTCCATTTTACTTTATCCATGATCATACAGCCATTGGAGCATAGGCAGGATTTGAATTCAGGTCTTCCTGATTCCAGGTCTAGCACTCCAGCTACCATGCCACCTAGGTCCCATTCATTTTTTTCCTGCCCTTTGGGGCAAAACACAAGTCTGATTCTCCTTTCAAATGAAAACCCCTCAAATACTTGAACCACAGCTATCATGTCTCCACTGAGTCTTCTCCACTCTCTAGGCCAAACATTCCCACCTCCTCCAACTGATACTCATATAACAAAGGCCTTCACCATCCTGGTTGACCTCTGGATGCTCTTCAGCTTATTAGTCTCCCTCTTCAACTGTGATACACATAATGGAACAATATACTCCTACAACTAGTTCTTCCATGTTGGTGAGAATAAGATCAGGGATAGAATGTCCTTTGGTTAATTCTTCCACCTTGTAAGGGTTAAAGTGATCATTAAGGCAAGTCAAGAAATGAGTAGCTGCTCTGCTTCTGTCTGTGAGCCCTAGCAGATGTATGGCTAGTTGAAAAGCCTCATCGTGACTATCTCATGGCTCTGTGCTAGGCTTATGATCCATTTGCCGAATGACTCATCTAGTACTTTCTGTCCAAGTGGTCTACTGTATACTCCAAATACAAAATTACTTGTTTTTCCCTCCTTTGACCTTCATCCAAATATTCTCTATCGCTCTTCCTCCTCCTGGGTTTCCTATAAAAAATTATCCAGAAGCATCAGGTCTTTGTACAAGATACAGATGGGGCAAATTAATAGGTAGTTTGTTGCAGCAATGAGACAAGGTAGTAAGAGGATCAAAGAGCCGACAATATGAATTGACATAAGCATTAATATATAATGCTATCCCACTAACCCTCCTTTATTATCCTATTTCTTTTGAATAAGGTAAACCCATACAGAGCCATATGTTAGTCATTGATTGAATTTCACCAAGTCTCACTGGTATCTGTAAAGTCAAATTTTCCTTCTTGCATTAGAACTTCTAGTACCTCTTCATCACCCAAACTTTGAACATTTTTTGGCAACATTTGAAGTCAGGGTTGGGTTTTTTCCCCCCTCTGAACATATGGGTATTTTAACTGTTTTTCCCCCTTCATTGAAGCCACTTTCTGTCATCCAACTTGATAGTTATATATTGACAGCTTTCTCATTCCCCCCAACCCTTTTAGTTTTCCCCATTCCTACAATCTCCACCTCTCTCTTACTCCAGTTCTATCAAAAAGATATCCTAACAAATAGATGAACACAGGAAGAAGTAACAATTGTTTCTACTGACATCTTTGAAACAAGCATGAACATGGTCAAGGATTAAATGGCAATAGGAAGGGGAAAAGAGGTAGCCTCCATTCTCTTCTAAGATATAAACAGCTCATTAATAGTGCCTACTGGATGTGAAGAGGAGATTGGAACTGTTACTATATATCCAACTTCTCACATTTGACTCCTGCTACTGCAAGAGAAAACCTCCATGGTGAATGGGAGACTTCCCTTGGCTTTGTGTTATCACAACTTTTTAAGCTTCTTTGAGGTTCTTCAACATATCAGTTTAATACTCAATAGATTAAATGAAGATCTTATCTGTCACAGATAAGTTGCTGATTTTTTTTCAAAAGACATCTTGCATATATTTAGTTTTGGTGTCTTTAGGACATTTTTTCTTACAGTGTTTTGGAGAGGAAATTTAACATAATTCTGCCAAGTAATGGCAATTGAACTGGGAATTATAGGCAAACTGATAAGGGGGAAATCTTAGAGAATAAATATCCCAAGAATGAAGAGATAGTAGGAGAAAAAGACAAAGCATGAGAAGGATACTGAAGAAAAGAATGGGGATGAGTTTGAGTAGGAAAAAAAGGGGAAAAGAGAAAGGGAAGCAAAGACTAGAACAGTGGGTTAAAAAAGAGAGAGATTTTCCTATTCCTATATCCCTTCTCAGAGTCTTCCCAAACTGCAATCAAACAAAAAGAATCATTGAACAAAGTTAACTCTGCTATTGAACATTTCAAAGAATCTTGTATTGTTTTTTAGCATATGCACAGAAGACAACTTTGTATAGGAGAATTTCCTAAGCAGCATTTTACTGCTTACCAAGTCAGTTGCTTTCTTATAGTCAACACACAATAAATATAGCGGATTTTCTATGCTCTATAACGATCAGTCAATTATAAAGATGTGCTCTGCTACAGAGAATCATTTCCCACAATCTGAATGTTCCCTTTTCATATTTTCACTGAAGAAATCTTTGATGTACATGTAAATCATTCTTATAAGGATTTAAAAAAAGATGAAAGCGTAGGCAGGTAGGTCAATAAGTATTGATATTTGCCTTTTGAGAGTATCAGTATTGTCTATGACTTTTGTCTATTTTAGTACCCTTCTCCTATTAAAGAAAATAATGGGGGAGGGAGGAATAATCAGTTGTTCCTATTAATGTCTTTATAACAAGACTGAACATGTTGAGGATCTAAAGGGAATACTCAAGATGGGAAACAGAAAAAGGCTTTTTTCTCCGCTAATTCAAGGAATTACTCTTTAAAAATATGCACTACAAGAAAAGTAAAGCTAGAGAAATTCTAACTTATTTTCTCTCTCTTTTTCAGATTATTATGGGAATGGTGTGATAAAAATGTACAACAATAAAATGCTTTATTTCAAACTTGAAATTAAAGATGTAGCACTGCTACATGACTGGGCTAACGAGAATGACAATACTTTAGTTTTAATGAACCCTACGGGGGAGCTGTTTCTTGCAAATCTTAATTATGGCATAGCAAAATCTTCAGAATATCCAATAATGCTGGAGTTATATAGTTCAATTTTTAAAGAACAAACTATTTGTCCATATCTGTTGTTTGAGAGCAGTATTGTTGTAAGCAATATTTATCTGGACAAGAGAGATGAACTGACGTTCTGGGCTCAAGTAATCTATCGTGAGAATCTTGGTGTGTATCCTATTGTGGAAATCTATGGAAGAAAATTATTAAAGGAGAAGAGAGATGTGAGCTATGAAATAGCCTTGGGAATTTGCACTAAAAATCTGGTAAGTCAGATTCAAAATTTTCAAATATCTATCCTTTTGTTTATTTCTTCAAATAGAAAATTGTGATTTAATGTTTTTTCCAGAATCATATATATGAGTAGTTTGAGAAAGATGTCATTTTCCACTTATTCATTCAACACATTTCATAAATAATATCATAGTAAGCATCACAGATACCTGTGATACCTATCCACATCTTCAGTCCTACTCACATGCTGTTGAACTAAGCTGGAAAAGTCATAAAATCATTCTAGGTCCACTTTAAGTTCAGGTTACATAATCTCACACGCAACTTCCCTGTGGCAAGGCAATGAGTTCACTATACCACTCCCCACAGCAGCTCTTTCAGACCTTTTCATCCTTTCCCAAGTCCCCCACAGCTTCCTCTCCCCTCTTCCCATCCTCTATGCTGTGATAAAAATTATTTGAGGATTCATTAAATAGGTATTGCTCCCAATCACCAAATCAACATGTAGAGACAGATTTTGTTTACACTGTAAACACATCTTCTAATACTGTAGATTTTATTTAAACTCAGTGTGCAGACTCAACTATATGAAAAAAAAATAAGTCAGAAAGCCCAAAGCATCAGATTCAGGAAACTTATATAGAATATGAATATTGTAAGCAGCATAGAAAAATGTAATTTTACAGAAAGTAAGAGAGGAAAAATATGAGTACATGTGTTGGGAAACAAATAACAAACGGGGGAAGATATAAGCATCTGTCTTGTAATTAAAGCAGGAGCTGTGGCTTCTTTCCTAGCCTTGACTCTGCAGGTGTTGTGGCCTTTGAACTTTCAGTAACAATGTCTGGAAATTCAAAATACAGACTGGGGCAATGTCCTCTTCTTATGCCAGTGGTGGAAAGAAGTCTGAGCCAGAAATCATCTTGCCAGTGTGCAAAAGCATAGAGATGGGAGAGGAACAAGAAATCCAATTCGGTTGGACCACAGAGTGCATGAAGAGATATAGTATGTAATAATCCTGGAACTGTAGGTTGGCTTGGGTGGTGAAGAGCTTAAGTGCCAATTGAAAGAATTTGTATTTGTTCCTAGAAATGATATGAAGCCAGTGCAAGGCCCTCCCTTTCAAGGTATGGGCACTTGTATATTATAGTATAAAATAGAATATAAGTACATAAGAGAGGTTTGAGTGAGATGATGTATGATAGTTTTTATCACAGAATCTCAGAGTTGTAAGGAACCTCAGGAGTCATCTAAATCAATCCATGTTTGTTTGAACAATAATGTCCTTTACCCCCCTGCTGACAAGTGTAAGACTCTGTAATTGTGTGTTATGAGCTTGCCTGTTTAGCCATGATCTGGCGATAATGATTAGTATCATCAGTGCACAAATAACTGGAGTGATCAGGCAGGCATGTGTGCCCTCTTTTCCGTTCTTAATGATCTTGTAACCAACAGCTGACATTTGGGGATGCAGTAGTAGGAAGAAGCACAATAAGTTCTGTCCTCATATGTACATCCTCCCAAACTCCTCCAAACAGATCCACAAAATGCACCAGACTGCATCCTGATTGGAAAATTCAAGTAAAATTAGTCTGAATCATTTTTCCAGCCCAGGTCAAAACAGAGAGACAGACAGGTGTGTGAACACCAAAGATGAGACATAGTCAGTGTGGGATGTAGAGCATTCCAGCCCTGGGAGATGCTGAGCACCAAGGCAAGAAGAGGTTCCAGATCCGAAATAAAGGCACCTAAATTTGTGCAGAATGCAGGGACAGGTGCCCAATGACAGCGCTGTCATTCAGTGCCTGCAGGTAATAGATCTATGAAAGACTGACAATGACATTCCAGGGTGAGAGTCCAGAGCCTTGGACTGCGTACAAACTAGTCCTGAAGCAAACAGTGTGCACATACTTCACAAGTAAACAGGGTTCTCAGTTCCAGCTTCTAGCCCAGCCTAAAGCTTGCAGAGGAATAACCAGGGCAGGAATGTCAAACAAAAGGGAAATCTACAATTCTGTAACTATGTATCAGCAGAGCTTCTAACTGGAAAGTCATAATAATAGTGACTGGGTCCAGCAGCAGTCTACTGAAATTTAAACTAAGCAAGCCTGCAGTCATATTGTTCAGACACAAACCCATGCCAAGAACTTGCACAACTAAAATAGGGTAGGATGGAAAGCAGAAATAAAATTTTGCCCTGCATCAGATCACTTTGGAAGCACTGAAAGCTTTCAGATAACAACTCAATACCTCTAAGTAAGCAACAGGAGAACCAGGCTAGACATTCCTTCCAGAAATATGCAGAACCTGGACCTAGCATAAAATCCATAAAGTCTAGAAGTAGACTCAAAAAAAAAAAGACTATTTTGGGAGCACTGAAAATCTTGCTAACCCCTAGCCTAAGCTATTCCTGAGATGCTGGAACAGCATAACACTTAATGCCTCCAAGAAAATGGCAGCAGGACCAGCCCAGACATTCTCTCCAAAAGCTCAAAGAGCCTAACCTTAAAAATGTAGAGCATTACAAAGCTAAGAACAGATCCCTGAGGTTTACCTGTAGAGATCTCTATGCAGGTTGACATGGATCTATCAATCTCTGGCCTTTACAGTCAGTGATTCAACCAATCCTCATCCATATAACTCTATTTTATTTTTTCCATATCTTCCCAACTAGTCTGCAAGGACTTTGTCAAATATCTTGCTGAAAGCCAGGAATAGTATGCCTATGGCATTCCCCTAACCTATTCATATATAGGAACCCTATCAAAAAGGAAATGAGCTTAAGTTGGCATAACTTATTTTTGACGATCACTGTTTCCCTTACAAAATGTTCAAACTATTGCTTTAATGATGTGTGGTAGAATTTTCCCATCAAAGTCACTCTGTAAGTCACATCAAAATCAGTCTATAGTTTGAAGGATCCATCCTCTTTTCCTCTTTGAAAATCAGGGCATCTACCTATCTCAATTCTTACAATTTGTCTCCATGATATTTAAAAGATAACCAAAAGCATATCAGCATACACATCCCCTAGTTCTTTCAGTTCTCTGAGATACAATTTACCTGAACTTGCTGACTTGAAATTACTGAAGGAAACTAGGTAATGTCTTACCATTTCTTCATTTCTCCCAAGATCCAATTCTTTTACTATGTAATGGGAAGTCTGGAGTATTGTGAGGAAACTGGCCAATAAGGACCCAGTCATTGCTGCCTATGTAAAACATGCCTATTGCCAATGCACACAAAGGTTAATGAGCATACTATTCCCTGGCAGGTGAGGAAAAGCCTTTTCATAGTGGCTTCTGAGCTGGAACTTAGTGTACCTACAAAAGGTTCAAACAGATTAATGTTCTCAGTTTTTGAGTAAGAAGGCAGAAGAAATGCTGTGTTCCCCGTAGCAACATGGCAGCCGTGGTCAGCTGAGACTACCTTATCTCCCCACCTAACCACCCTCTGGCCATGAACTCATGGCACCTCTCTTTTTTTGTGTTGTCTTTATTCTTTCATAATCTGAGGTGAATATCAGTGATAGAACAGACCAGGTTATGCCTCTGTGAACTTTGAAAGGTCAAAAGAGTGATCAAAGGTCCCCTCAGTATTTGAAGCCGTTAGCAGCAGCAGCCATGCCTGGTGAGCAGACCAACCTATTTGATGCAGACCAACACTGAATTGACCCGGTAGCTGGGAGACTGTGCCCTTCAAGAAAGTCAGCAACTTATCCATAGAGTACACCACACCCGGAAGTGAACTGAGTGAGAAGAGTGCTTCACTTCAGTGGCTGGGCACAGGGAGCCAGAGGACATCCACAGAGACTGCACAGACCCAAAGCCTGGGAGGATGGCAGTGCTGTGTGAGTGCATGTACAAGGGCTGCACAAGCACCAGCAGGATGCAGGACATGTTGTCCATAGGCTCTGAAGTGCTCCAAAGTATTCCAGTGTGAAGATTACTAAGGTGGAGAGAATCAGCATTTTGGAAAGAGTGAAGATTGACATGTCAACTTTTCATTCTTTCTCTTGAAATTCTTGATATTCTATTTCTCTATATTAATTCCATTATTTTTTTCTGGTTCTATGAAGTAACCCTTTAACATTTTGGTACCAGATAAGTAAATTAATTTGGGTAGCATTATCATTCTTCTCTGAACCTCAAAGAATAAGACTCATACTGTTTTATACATTAAAGAGAACAAAGACTATCGACAAAATTTACAGGTTTCAGAGAAAATTCAAATTCAGAATATCAACAAATAAAAGGAAAAACAAAGGAGTGACTATTTTTTAACTTCCTTCAATAATTTACCCAATATTTATTAGCAAGGTCAAGTATATGTAGTTAGAACAAAGAAGCACTTTAAACTTAAAGTCACATTCAGAAATCTTAAAGCATCCTTCAAAGTAAGGGCCACTGCTCAACTAAGAAATAGGAGATTTTTTATTTTTATCAGAATTCATTGTTCTTTGAATGTTTGACAGAATTTACTTACACATGCATCTGGACTTTTTTTTTCTTTTAGATCTCATGGACAACGTCTTTTTCTTAAATTCTATCTAAATTCTCTATTTTTTTGTTCTATTAATGTGAGTACTTTGTTTTTATAAATATACACCTTTTTATTTGTTATTAGTTTTGTTAGCATATAATTGGTCCAATTTATCACTTTCTAACACATTATTTTATTTCTTCATTTGTGGTGAATTATTCTTTTTCATTTTTTATATTGGTTATTTGCTTTTCTTTACTCATTTGAAAAATCAGAATTAATGTATTTTAATAGCTTTTTCAAAACCTGGCACCTAGTTTTATTTTTCAGTTCAATGGCTTTTTTACTTTCAATTTCACTGGTCTCTTCTTTGATCTTCAGAATTTCTATTCTTGTTTTGAGGGGTTTTTTTAATTTGATACTTTCTCTTGTCACTTTTTTAGTTGCATATCCAGTTCATTGATCTGTCATTTCTCTTTTGTTGGTGGAAGTATTTAGAGTTAAATTTTCCCCTTAGGACTTTTTTGGCTACATCCCAAAAGTTTTAGTT